CTGCCCTTGGTCCATATCCCTCCATTCCTTGTTTATTCATATGCTTCCCTAAAAGTCCCTGAAACAGCCCTATCGTATCTGCCTCCACCACCACCTCTGGCAGTGCGTTCCACACTCCTACCGCTCTCTGTGTTAAATAAACCCTGCCCCTCACATCTCCTTTGAACTTTTCCTGTCTCACCGTAAATGCATGCCCCCTAGTATTAGACATTTCAACTCTGGGAAAAAGATTCTGACTGTCAACCCTATCTGTGCATCTCATAATTTTATGGACTTCTATCAAGTCTCCCTTCAGCCTCCAACATGCAATGGTAAGCAACCTGAGTTTTTCTAGCCACTTCTTATAGCTCATACCCTCTAATCCAGGCAGTATCCTGGTAAACCCCTTCTGCACCCTCTCCAAAGCTTACACATCCTTCCTGTAATGTGGCGACCAGAACTGAACACAATATTCTAACTGCGGCCTAACCAAAGTCTTATAAAACTGCAACATGACATCCTGACTCTCCTACTCAATTCCCCAAACAATAAAGGGAAGCATGCCATATGCCTTCCTTACCACCCTATTTACTTGCATGGCCACTTTCAGGGAGCTAGGGACTTGAACCCCAAGATCCTTCTGTACATCAATGCTATTAACTGTATACTTTTCCTTAACATTTGATCTCCCAAAGTGCAGCACCTCACACTTACCTGGATTAAACTCCATCTGCCATTTCTCCACCCATATCTGCATCTGATCTCTATCCCGCTGTATCCTTTGACAACTTTCTACAGTATCCATAACTCCACCGGTCTTTGTATCATCTGCAAACTTACTAACACACCCATCAACATTTTTATCTAAGTCATTTATTTATTATCACAAACACAGAGATCCCAGTACGGATTCCTGTGGAACACCATCAGTCATGGACCTCCAGCCTGAAAAACATCCTTCCATCAATACCCTCTGTCTTCTATGGGCAGGCCAATTCTGTATCGATGTGGCTAAGTCAGCATGGATCCCATGCATCTTAATCTTCTGGATGAGCCTACCATGAGTGACCTTGTCAAAAGCCTTATTAAGATCCATGTCAACAACATCCACTGCTCTACCCTCAGTGATCACTTTCATCACCTCCTCGAAAAGTACAATCAAGTCAGTAAGATGTGACCTGCCTCACACAAAGCCATGCTGACTGTCCCTAATTAGGCCATGCTTTTCCAAATGTGTGTAAATCCTATCCCTAAGAATTCTCTCCAAATGTTTCCCAATCACCGATGGGAGACTCACCGATCTGCAGTTTCCTGCGTTATCCCTATTTCCCTCTTGAATAGAGGAACAATATTAGCTACTTGCCAGTCCTTCAGGGCCTCTCCATTGGCTAACGATGATACAAAGACCTCGGTCAGGCCCCAGCAATCTCCTATCTTGTCTCTCTCAATAACCTGGGGTAGAAACCATTGGGCCCTGGGGACTTATCCACCTTAATGCTCTTCAAGAGATCCAACACCACTTCTTTCTTGATCTCAAAATTCCCTAGAATGTTAGCATGCTCCACACTATTCCCACTATCTTCCATATCCTTCTCCTGGGTGAATACTGATGGAATGTACTCATTTAGGATCTCACTTACATCCCCTGCCTCTAAGCGCAAGTTCCCTCCTTTATCCTTCAGTGGTCCTACCTTCTCCCTAGTTATCCTCTTGTTTTTAATGTATCGACGCAATGCCTTGGGATTCTCGTTGACTGTACTTGCAAAGGTCATTTCCTGGTCCCTCTTGCTCTTTAATTCCCTGCTTGTGGACTTTATATTCTGATCTGTCTGGATTATGCTGGCCCTGAAGATCTGACAACAACTCATTAACGCATCACACCTTCTACACATAGAATCATACAGGACAGAAAATGCCCTTCAGCCCATCGAGTCTGCATTGACGCAAAAAAAAATCACACAGATCAGACAAACAGTTAATCAAACTGTTCGAATGCTCAATCGAAATGCAGTCGACCTTTCCATCGATCTGTGGGATGTGGGTGTTGTTGGCTGGGCCAGGATTTATGCAGCGTATACCCTTAGATGGCACAGTGGCTCAGTGGTTAGCACTGCAGCCTCACAGCACCAGGGACCTGGGTTCAATTCCAGCCTTGGGCAACTGTCTGTGTGGAGTTTGCACATTCTCGCTGTGTCTGCATGGGTTTCCTCCAGATGCTCCGGAGTCCAAAGATATGCAGGTTACGGTGGATTGGCCATGCTAAATTGCCCACAGTTTTCAGGGATAGTTGGGTTAGACATGAGAAGGCAGGTGTAGGGGGATGGATCTGGGTGGGATGCTCTTCAGAGGGACGGTGCGGACCTGTTGGGCTGAATGGCCTGTTTCCACACTGGAGGTGTTCTGGGAAGAGAGTGGATTGGTCAGTCAACTCAGGGGACAGTTAAGTGCCGACCACATTGCTGTGGGTCTGGAGTCACTTGAAGGACAGACCAGGTAAAGATGGGGACTTCCCCTTCACTGTAGGAGGGGGAGGGTATCAGTTTCAATAGTGGATCCACAGGACACATATCAGTATTTGCACTGTGTCCTGGGGAATGTATCAGTATTAACACTGTGTCCTGTGGGACTGTGACCTGGGGAATGTATCACTATGTACACTGTGT